AAGTGCTGGTTATCGGAATCTAAATAATCTGGCTGAGGTAAAGGAATAAGTTTTTTGTATGGGTCTTTATGGAGTAATAACGTCTGTAATAACGTTTCGAATCGTTGTTTATTTCATTCTTTCACTTTTCAAATTTATGTTCAGTTTCTCCTAATCTTTTAAAATTCAACCCACATTTTTCCCACTTTTTGATTTATCCAGATCTGCTTACGGAATTTTGTGAATTTTAGGAACGTCGTCGGCTTCTCAGTGATGTAATCAAGCTGTATAAATTCTTGCGTGAATGTGATCAATTTGAAACCTGGGCAAAAGAGACAGAAACAGCTCTCGCTGATAGCACTACTTCAGATAATGTCAAGGCTTCGCGGAAGAAATTTAATGTAAGTTGTGGAGGAATTCTCGTGTATGTAATATCAGGTGAAGTGAATGAGTAAACAAGTTAAAACTTGAGCTGTTAATAATTTTTATTGTACGAACTTGAGCTGTTAATAATTTTTATTGTACGAACCGATACATATAATTGGTAAAGCATTTACCTTTATAGCTGCTGTATGTAAATCATTTACTACTTAGAATTGTTACTCCGGAAAGATCCTGAAGTCTTTAGTATTCACACACTTTGCAATAAATTAAGACCACAATTGGGCATCTTCAGATGTCGTAAGGAGGTAATTACATGAATTATTAGCCTCATGTTTCGTTTGGATTTTAAAACTATTGTCTGCTAATTTAGAAACTCGAAAATGAAATCAGCGCGAATGGTAAAATGCAGGTAAAACGAATTAATGATGTTGCCGAAGAATTAGTTAATGAAGGTCATAGCCATAGAGATGAAATTCGACGACGTCAGGATGCAGCGAATATGCTATGGAATAAAATACGGGATCTTTTGAAGATAAAGCAACGTCAGCTTGTAAGTTAATTTGACTAACAAATGATTTTTGATGTGAATCAGTCTAGAATCAGATGAGTTTTTTTTGGTTTTATAAGGATAGGTCGGGAATAAATTTGAAGTTAGAAGGATTTCGCCAGTGGTTTGCATTTTTTTTCGTTAAATTTTTCGTGCATTGATAATATGCGTTAAGCGTTGTTTTGAGTTAAACATCATTTCTTATTTTAACACTTTCATTGTCCATGCAGAATGCTGAGCTTTTATACACGCGGCATGTATCAGAAGACCGATTCAAATTGCCATTATAAGTTGAAAGCACTGCTGCTTTAGCATGCTGATTTTATCTGTTAACACTTCATATGTGATCATTTCAGGAAGCAGCCGAAAAAGTTGCAGCATTTAATGAAACATGCGAAGACGCGCGATCATGGATGCAAGATAAATTTGATTTGCTTGAACATAAAGTTGACATGAATGATGTGAAAGCTGTTCAAGCAGTACAAAAGCGTTATCAGAATTTGGGAAAGGACCTTAAACCATTGGAAGAAAAGATTCGTTTTCTGCAGCAACTTGCTGATGAGGTTATTGTATGGATTTTTTTTGATTAAATATAGCCCTGCGACCATAAAGAAACTTCCGACAGATTCACATACTTTTAGAAAAATCTGATTAAAAATCGTGAATAAACTAATGTATGTTTCCAGGTAAAGAAAGAACATCCTGAAGAAGCTGCCAGAATTGAACAAATGATCAAACAATTAGTTAAAATGCATGATGAGCTACGGCAAAAATCAGCTGCACGTATTGAAGAAGCCGAACAGACTCAAGGGCATCAGATGTTCGATGGTGCGGTGAAGTATGTTTTATATATTTTATCATAAAGCATTTTTTATGCGGAGCAAAATTAATTGTTTATTTGAATATTCGAAAGATTTTGCTGATGCACTGACCAATGATTGAATATATTTTGTGTATATGTATATGTTTTTGCTGGAATTTTACTGATATCTGCTCATTCGATGTAAAAGCAATGCTTTCTAAAATTATATTATTTATCACTCAAATTATTTATAATACCTTCTTGTTTAAAGAATGAAGACATATATCCCTTTTTAAGCTTCCAAATCTTCACGACTTGCCTGACAATAGGGTATTAAACCAAATCTTCTGTCTCATAAAAAAATTCATTTGCCGGCTAATAATTTTTGCAGGAATTTACAAACATGGATTGACAAAACAAAGTTAGCGCTTGTTGATAATACCCGGCCGGTAGATGTTTCATCAGCTGAAGAACTGCTAAAGAAGCATTATGAGCTCAACGATGATATAAGTGGCAAAAAATATGAGTTCGATTATGTGCGCGATCTTGGACAGCGCTTGCTGCAAAAAAATCCTGCACTTAACGATGTTTGGTTTGGAAAATTAAATATAAAGGGGCGGGCTTAAACGATTTCAAATGTGTTCTGAGATTAGCGAAAAGTCATTTGATGAATCAATAAAAAGATGTTGATAAAATTACAGTTTCACCATAGTCATTTAAAAAGTTTAGAAGAATTAGGGAAGACTTATATTAATTTGACTTGAAAATTTGGGTTCGGTTGCGGTATAAAGTTGAAACATTTGATGAAATCGGCAGTGGTATGTTAAAAAATATCTTACAGGTAAGGGGAAGTTTGAAGAAATTAGATACCGAACAGCAGGCAATCAATGCTTTGTGGAAAGAAAAGGAGCGATGGTTGAAAGAACTTCTGAATTTGCAATTATTAAACACAGAAGCGGAAAGAATCGATGCAGCGACAAAAGGACATGAAGCGTTTTTGGAACTTTCCAACCTTGGGGTATTTCGTCACTTTCAAGAGTTTACAAGATCCATATTATTGATAAGTATATTGAAATTTTAGAGTAACAAGTATTCTATTCGATAATTCCGTTTTATTTTTATGGATTTCAGCCATCTTTTTCATAATAGAATGTAATGGATTTCCTTTTTTGTTATGAACTTTGCTTAAATCAGTTTAGGATTCGGTAGAAACAGCTGAAAATTTGTTAAAGCGTCATTCGGACTTTGAAGCAAAACTTCGGGCCCAGGAAGATCGACTGAAAGTTTTCGCGAGGGGTGCCGATCAACTGATTCAGGCAAAACACAGCGAAGCAGATTTCATTAAAAAGGTCATCTCAGAGCACAAATGCCCTTCAGTTTTTATTGGGACTTTGTAAATTCGTAAATTTAGGTGTTTGGCTTCCATTTATAATTTAAACGGCAACTAATCATTTCTGAAAATTTTTAAAAACAAGCGAATAATTCCTAAAAAATTTTAAACTTACTTTGCTTTTAGTAGGTAAGTGTATAGTTAGTTATTTGGAACAAACAAGAAATGATTAAAGAATTAATGTGACTCATTGTTCCACTTACTCATTTGCTTCCATTTATTCATTTATATGATGAATAGTTTTTTCCTTCCAGTCAAAAAAGTAAACGTGTACAACCTATCTTGACGCGACAATTATTTCCTCAAAATTTCAGCGCCGTGATGATGTTTTGGCTCGTCGATCGCAAGTCCATCAAGTAGCAACGAAGAGACGTGCACAGCTGGAAGCATCACTTCAGTATCAAAATTTACGGCGGAATATTCAAGAGTTATCTCAGTGGATAGCAGAAAAAGAAAAGATTGCAAACGACGATTCGTATCGGGACGCAGCATCTATTACTATGAAACTGTTGAAACATAAAGCATTTGAGGCGGAACTGAAAGCAAATGCTGCGCGTCTAGACGAATTAAATGCGGTAATTTCGAATTTTGTTTCAATGTCTTAAAATTGTCGAATGCTATGTTAATATTCTGTAAGCGGTTTTTGGTCTGTTTAAGCCAAAATTTCACTCAAGTCCAGGCGGAATGTAATGTTACTAGCTAGACTAACTTTAATAATGGCTCTAAAATGTATATGTAGCAGTATGTTGGACGTTGAATTAATAGAATAGGTGAAGTACTGGTTATCTATCATATGAAATCTAAGAAGAGAGTCTTGAAAAACAAGTGTGGAGAAGTAATAATGTTTGCTGATTCCTCTTCCCTGGTGGTTTTCTTCGTTATTCGTTAACTTATTTTTTTTTAGGAAGGAAACGCGCTTATAGCAGCGCGGCACTATGAATCGGAATCTATTCGGAGAATGTTAGACGGTGTAAATGCGGAATGGTCTGATCTCTTACGTGCAGCGAATGCTAAAGGAGAGTGTTTGAGACAAGCGGAAGATCAAAAAGGCTTGAACAGCGCCCTGGATGATGCCCATTTGAAGTTAGATGAAATACAAGCATCTTTGAATTCGAAAGATTTAGGGTATGATTTACGTGGCGTGAAGGAACTCATCCATAAACAGGTTATTGTGGAAAAGGAAATGGCTATTTTTGAGAAAAGAGTTCTTGAAATGACAGAGAAAGCAAATGCTATGATACAGCAGGGACACTTCGATTCGGCCACCGTTAAGAAAGCTGTACAGAAATTAACTGAAAGGTTAATTCTAAGTTTCTTTTCACTTTAAAGCTTTTGTTGTGAGCTTCAGTCGTTTTCATTTTCAAAGTAAGGCAGAAATTTCCAGTCACGTATCTCAAATTTAAATTTAGGCATCAGATTAGAAGGTTAATAAAATTCTTGCAAAGTAGTCGTGGGCACTCATTCACGAATATGCTGTGTTTTGAAGTAACTGTAGAAATCTAAAAATTACGTGATTTTATGATGAGAGTGGAAATTTCCAGGTTTGAATCACTGAAGGAACCAGCCAAAGATCGTCGAACTGCATTGGAAGAAAGCTTGAAATGGCATCAACTATCGTTTGATATAGACTGCGAAATGCACTGGATTTCGGAGAAGGTTCCAACTGCATCATCTGAGGAAACTGGCCGCTCTCTTACGGAAGCCACTAATATGCAAAAAAAGCATGAACAGTTGGAGGTTAGCCCGTATTTTTAGATATATTTACAACACTAATGAAGTGACTTGGAGTTTGAGGTAGACGTATGTGATATTCGAAAAACTTCGTCTTTGGTTCTTAATGCGTAGTACTTTAATCCGATTACTGATTTAATTACAAATAATAGGCCAGTTATTGTACTTTTTTGTTTAACGGTTTCTTTTTTCAATAAATGACTAATTCTTGATTTCTTTCTGTTGTAGTATGCTCTCATATTTCGGGTTCTTTGTCATGTTTGTTACAGATCACTCTTCTGATTCACTCAAATTTTTTCTTGGGTGGTGTTTGTCAGAATCTTTTCCAGATTTTGAAGAACAAGTTTTTCAAATTTACAGGCAGAGGTGGCATCACGATTACCTCATATCAAGCAGACATTGAATCGTAGTAGCAACCTTATTAAAGAGAAGCATTATGCTCAGGAACAAATGCGCGCTAAATATGAGCAAGTAATGTTTATTTCTGCAGTATACTTTATTATACTACGCAATGTTTCTAGGCAAAGTATCTTCGTTTTATTTGCTTGATTTTTTCAATTGCAGCTCGCTGAAGCCTTGACACATTTGAATAATTTAATGCGAAAACGGAAGGATTTGTTGGATTGGGCCTTGAAGGAAGAGCAATATATGTTTGATGCAGCCGAGGTAACGGATTGTACTTTCTCTACCTTTCCCTGTTTTTTATGTAACACAACCCATGAAATCCACACACACAGATTTTCCAGTTGATTATCAAGTTAAACGAAACATCTGAAAGCTTTCCATTGATTTTCTAGTCAATCGAATTCAGGTCGATTCGTGGATGAATGAGAAGCGGGGAGCACTAACATCAGAAGATTTTGGTCAGGATGAAGATGCAGCGCAGAAGTTGTTGGCTAAACATAAAGCCTTGCAAGCTGATATGGTTACATATAAGTAGGTTTTGCACACTTCAATCTCTTAATGCATCATTTGTTTCCTTTTGAATTTGGTTTGCCTATTTCTGAGCCAATTTTTCGTAGATAAACATGTGAAGATATCTTTTTCTAACAAAAACATTCATGGAGCGAGAAAAAGGTTTTGGTAACTAAAATCTTGCATGATTAACTGCAGCCGCATTTCATTCACTTGCCCTTGTATCCCTTTTGTTGTTGGGAGAACACTCGTTTACCAACCGTCAAAATTGCTACTTCCTGTCTGTAAAAAGCAGTGTTAATTTCTTTGTTTAACTGAGACCACATTAATTTTCATCAACTTTACAGGCAGTGGCTCCAGAAATTGGCAGTTCAGTGTAAAGAGTTGGAGAATTCGAATCGATCAAACAATGAGCGATTTATTACGAGGCAAGGTGAACTAGAAAAAGAAGTTGAAACACTTTCAACTTTGGCAGACGAAAGAAGACAGCAACTTGAAAATGCAGTCTACTTATATCAGTATCTGCGAGAAAGCCACGATTTAGAAGCGTGGATTAACGAACAGCTACTAGTTGCAATGAGTGAAGATTATGGAATCGATTATGAGCATTTAAAGGTTAGTTGATAGTACGCAAGAAGTTCAGTGCTTCCGTAATTTCTGATACTGGTTTTTATTTGAGATATATTAACCCAAATTCAGCCATTAGTGAATACTTTAAAGGATTTAGTAATGAGGGAGTGTGGTGAAGAAAATCATGAATGAAGTACGGCTTTCAGGGCTTAAGAATATTCTCATTGAATTTTTGGAGGAGTTGATATGAAATTGACGGTAAAGGAAACACTGAAGCATCAAGAATTACCTTAGCAACTTTAATACTGATCATTGCTAATGGTATGAATTTCAGGAATTACAGAGCCGTTTCGAAGATTTCAAACAAAGTGTCAAAACAGGTAGCGAAAGATTTGTACATTGTGAATCAGCAGCGAATGCATTACTGAGGCGCAGTCCACCGTTTGCTCGTGATATATTAAAACGACAAGAAAAACTCAGGTGACTTGCAGCTATTTTCTAGAACATTTTGTCTCTTGTCTGAATAGTTTCTGATTTATTTCTTATTTATCTTTCTTTTACTAAAGTTTTAGCGCAATCTATTTGTGATTCCAATAGATATGATGGGGTGACTTATATTTTCAAAAGCTAGGGTGGAACAAGATTTGCCATGATTAAAATTATCACGGAACTTTATCACCTCTGAATTCGTTAATTGAATATACCTTTCCTTTTAAAATTATATGGTGGTTTACTGGAACAGGTATAAATAAAGTTTCCAGAAGTTTAGGAGTAGTTAACGGACTTGAAGTACTTGAATTTTAAATGAGTAGTCTTATAATTTTAGGTCTGTCTGGTCCTTACTGCTAGATTATATTGAAAGTCGAGATCAGAAACTGGAAGCAGCAGAAGAGTTGCATCGTTTCAACCGTGATGTAGCTGAGAACCAAGAACGAATAGCTGAAAAGCAAGCTTCAATTCCTGCAGAACTTGGTAAAGACATCAAGCAAGTTCATTCCTTGTGGTTGAAGCATGAAGCTTTTGAAAATCAGCTTGGTGCTATGGAACAACAGCTACGTGAACTACTAGAAGAAAGCGTGCGCTTAAAGGCTACTTATCCTGGTGGTAATGCGGAACATATCACGGCACAGCAAGCAGCTCTGGCTGAAGCCTGGCAGGATTTGCAAGACGCAACCGTATCACGACGCGATATGCTGAAAGCTGCTTACGATTTCCAACGTTTTTACGTGAAGGTGAGTGGTTACTAAGAGTTTTTTGCCAACTAGGTTTTTCCACATAATCCAGTGATATAACCCTTTGATTAGTTCCTTCTTTCCATAACTTTGTACTGTAACGTAAGATCCGAAATGAAGTCACTTCCAGTTGATAGTTTCTCAAGTCATTTTTCATCATGTGCTATATTGTGGTATAACAGCATTCCCAAAACATTACATAAGCATAGTTTAAGGTTCTGACGTTATATTTAAAAGTAGAGAAATCTTCGTTACATAAGTGTCGTGTAGTGATAATTTAAATTTTAAGGCCCGTGATTTGATGGCATGGACAGAAGTCATTGTAAGAGACATGCAAAGTAAGCAAGCAGTACATGATTTGCAAAGTGTGGAGTGGTTGCAGAAGGAGCATCTTCGCTTGCAGGTAAATTCCAAATGTTTGACGAAATAACAAATGAGAGCTTTTCTGAAAGGGAGGAGGAATGGAACAATGTACATTAAACAACCTGTGCTGTCGGAAGTTAAATAGATCAGCGTGACTTTAACGACTCTTTTCAAATGATATTTCATTCATCGTACGATTGAAATTAAAAAGTTTCTAAAATATTCATATTTTCAATGATGCACTTGTAGTCACTTATAGGGGTGACGTATTTATTTGTGTAATAGTAAAAATTCTTGGCAGCACCGGTTTTTTCCAACAGTTTGTTTTACTGTTGAATCTGATATTTTACAGCGTTCGAACTCATCGTCCATCGATTCTTTCCCTCTGGTTTGTTGACTTCAGTGAAGGTTAATTAGCATATGTGTAAATTCGTAGTATACACTTATGTTCGTGGTTGTTTAAGATGTTTGATTTCATATTGTTATGAATTTATCTCTTCTTCATTTCCAAGTTTTAGGCTGAAATAGAGGCGCGTGAACCAGATTTCGCGCGATTAACTAGTCGTGGTGAACAGATGATAGCGAAAGACCATTATGCAAGCGGAGAAATTGCTGCAAAATTGAAGCAGGTGAAAGAAAATATTATTTAGCAATAAATGAAAATCTTAAGGAAATCGGAAATTAGAGGATTTCGAAGGAACTAAATTGAAGACAGATCCCTGGGGTTTTTCCTGTTCTACTCATCATTGTCATGTATAAAACTGCATATGAATCCACAAATACGGATTTTTTCCTCTTTGTTTAGGTTGGCCAAGCTTTGAAACAAGTCCAAGATGAATGGGCTGTACGGCGCGAATGGTTGTCGCAGGTACGTGAATGGCATGCATTCCAGCGAGAGGCAAAACAAACTCTGGCTACAATCGCAGCTCGACAAGCAACGCTTTGTTGTGCGCAGGTATCTTGAGCTTGGTTTCAAAAAAAACAAAACTGGTCATTATTCATTAGTTAGTCATTCAGCTTTTATATCAGGTAATAATCTATTCATGGCCAACTCTGTGTTTGTTCGTTAAATGTGGTCTTATGTTTTTATGAAGTGTTAAATGAATATCTTAAAAATATGGTTACTATGATATCAACTTTTCAAGGTTGGAGGATCAGTGGAAGAAGTTGAAAGTCAAATCAAAAAAGTGGATACATTTCAAAAGGCACTCGCAACCCTTGATGATCGCGTAATTGCTTTACAAAAGACAGCAAAACAATTGATTGCTGCCAGACACACTGAATCCTCGAAAATCGATCAGTATATCAAACAGGTACAGGAAAGTTTGAGACTTATTCTAAAGTTACTGATTTTAGAAAAGTATGTTTTTAAGGAAAAAATTGTAAGGGTCTGAAATAACATAGAATTTATGATATGCATTCACAGCAAATATAAAGCGTTTACTGTAATTATGAACTGACATAGTCGAGTTTGAGAGAGACAAGCATCTTACGATATATTGGTGGTGGGATTCTCTAAGCTTTCCATCAGTTCTAGGATTATAAAAAGTAGACATTTGGAGATTCCACGACATTTCACGATTTTAAGATATATTCCTGTTTCGGAGTAATTTTTGTTTTTGGAAGGGCTTCATTTTCGATTTCCTTTAATTTTTTTTATTTTATCAAGGTGGAAGTAGCTCTTGCACAGCTTCGTGTGCAACTGAATGTACGGAAAAGTACTCTGGATGATGCGTTGGATTTGGCTTGCTTCAATAGTGATATGATGGAGATAGAAAGCTGGATTGATGATAAACAGAAAAGAATAAGTGCAGAGAGTGATAGACAAGCGAAGTTAACAAGTATCGAAGATAAAATGAAACGCTTACAAAAACATCAGGTTTTCTAATTCTGATGTTTAGGATTATTTTATTGTATTTCGTGTTAAGCCAGGCAGCGTAAATTTTAATTCGTGGAGTGATGAATAAGGAAAACATAATTAACAGTCTTCTTTAGTTTTGTGGTTTCGAAGTTTACTTTCTTGAAGCTTAGTTTTTAGTATCAAGGTTTCTGAATTATAATTTTTGAGCACTGCTCATTTTTTTTGCAGGCGATGGAAGCTGAATTGTCAACAAATGAGTCCCGAATTCAAGAAATTAAAATACGGGCACGAACACTAGCATCCAAACCTACCAATGATGGACACGATATTAAAAAAAGGTTCTGTTTGTTCATTTTGCTGGATATATTTTCGATTTGGAAAATGTGAAAATTCCATTCCGTCTCAACCATAATCACATTGAATATCGTTCAATTAAAAGTGAGTTTAATTCAGGAGTGGTGTTATACTTAACAAATGGGACGAATTAGTAGCTATGTCACGTGACCAAAGTAGTGCGTTAGAAGAAGCTCGTGATTTGCTCGATTTCAAACAACTTGTTGAAAGGGTTATGCGATGGATAAGAGTAAGCATGAATAAATTTTTTATGCAGTCATTCATGCACATATTTTCAATCATTAAATTTGATTTAGATTGTTAGGATTTGGTAATTTTATTATTATAGCTAAATTGTATTTATAAAAATATTGAAATTTGGTATTAGAATGCAAATGTAATTTAGTTTTATTGCAGTACAATTGTTAACGTCTCATTCGACACAGTTCTATTAAACTTGCTGTTGTAGAGAGCAAAAAGTGAATTGGACAAAAAGAGGACATTTTCTAGGAAAGAGAATTGCTAGTCAGTGCGGGTAAGATGGGTCGTGATATGGAGCATTGCCAAGCATTATTGGAAAAATTAGATGGCACACAAGCGGATGCAAGTGTCGACCAAACTTCCGTTGAATCTGCGAATAGTTTAGGTCAAAAGCTGATTGCTCAAGGGCGGTCTTCGAAGGATGAAGTGCAGCAACAACTTAAAGACCTAAATGAAGCGTCAGTTCAATTTTTCGTGATTTAAATTGCTTTTTGTACAAAAATTTCAGTAGGATATTATAAAGATGACAAGGGGCACTGTATTTTTGCTTACTAGAAAATTATAGAGTTAATTCTTGTTTTCCTTTTGACAGATTTCTGAATATTAGCGACACAAGATCAATTGTTATTTGATTCAGACATCACCATTTTCAAAGTCTATTTGGTTTTAGTTGGACGCAGGTGCAGGTCAAGCTAAATTTGTACCGTTCACAGCTCCGTTCAGCACTTGAAGTCCACGCATTCAATCGCGATGTTGACGACACTTGTGAAAGGATTCAAGAGAAGCTTACTGCTGTCACAAGTGATGATCTTGGAAGAGATTTGCATTCTGTCGAAGCACTGATACGTAAGCAGGAAGCGGTCGAAAGGGACATGACTGTTATTCATGAAAAGCTTAAGTTACGGCTTACATACTGATTTTGCTGTTGAATAATTACAAAGTTTATGCAAACATGAATGCGTCGAGAATCTAAAGTGATTCCTGATTTGAATTCAGGTCTTCCAGTAAATAATTTATTAATGTTGATAGTGCTGGTCTTTTTATATTTCTTAATTTATAATAGGAACTTACTGTCGCATTTTAGTTTTTCGTTGTCGAGTTGATATGTAATATAGCAATAAGCACTTAAGAGTATATAATTAGCTCCAAACGTTACGTTTTAGGCTCACGACATTGAAGCGCAGAAACTTCTTGACAAGAAACCTCCACTTTACAGCACAGTTATTGAATCACTGCAGAAACTGGAAGCTTCTTGGAAACAGTTAGCTGAACGAGCGACAGCCAGGTCGTACCTTTTACTTTTTTTCCAAATTTTTATGGGAATTTAAAGTAAGCAGTGAATATTTGTACAGAGTTGAGGACAGCTGTTTTTATGAATCTACTGTTTTTGTTAGCATGTTTTAGGGGACAAGCATTAATGGCGTCTGGTGAGTTGCACAAATTCCTTGATGCAATGCGGAAAGCTGAAATCTGGGCGGTAGATGCTCTCAGCCGACTAACAACTGAAGAAAGTCCACGTTCTGTAACAGACGCTGATGCATTTATTGCTAAACATATTGAGAAGCTCGCCGAAATTGATGGGCGGCAGGTTGTTTTGATTTATATTTTTACATAGAAAGGAGAACCACGTCTACGTTCATTTTACTTAAATTCACAGCATTTTGATATAGTTAATTGAACAATTTATCAAATGCCATGATTTATTTTCTTGATGATTGGTGTGAGCAGCAGTTCTAGAATTTATTCATTTTCTTCATTAAAATTTTCCTTTTCAGCGTGAAATGTCGGAGTTGCGGGAATGGAGCACGAGATTGATTGCTAAACAATCAGATCATAAAGGTGAAATACAGCGAGCATTGAAACGACTTCAGAATGTGGAACATCAATTACGTCAGGCATGGGAAGCTCGAAACGTTGCCTTAGCTCGAGCTCGGAATCGTCAACTGTTTGCTGACCAGGCTGCTCGTGCAGAACAGTGGCTTGCATCCAAAGAAGCATTTCTGAAACAAGTGAATATTGCATCTATGGTTGAAACTTTCTTTGTTTTCATAAAAATAAATGAGTGTTCTCTACAATTCTCAGCAAAATCTTTAGTCGTATTATTTAATTAGAAAGTCTTTGAGAAATTTAATAAATTGTCCGGTCACACGACATCACGAATTATTTTTAATGAGTGCCGTGGAACGGATTAATTCATTAAGATTTTCTAATTCATGAGCTTATTTCAGGCAGATATGGGCGAGAGTGTTGTTGCTGTTGATGTGCTACTCAAGAAACACTATGATTTCGAAAAAACCCTTATTGCTCAGAGTGATAAAATCGATGCTCTAAAGAAAGATGCGGATTTGCTAGCATCGTGTGATGTCGATTACCGTAATGAAATCGAAAAAATGTACATTACAGGAATTCGAACAAATTATTTCGAGAGAAATTATATTGCCTTTTCAATCTGTAATATAATTTGGATCAAACTTTCTTCTTTAAGCTAACTTTTGGAATACATTTTTCTTTTTTTGGTATTATTGGAACAGGAAAAAAAGTGTCTTTGAATTTTCAGCCGGGATACAGTCCTTTCTCGGCATGCAGTGCTCATGGATTCATGCAAACGACGTCATGAACTGTTGAATGAGTCACGCAAATTGCATGAATTTATCGACAGCTGTGGTGAATTGATGACTTGGATCAACGCAAATATTCAGCTTGCATACGATGAAAGCTTTTTAGACCAAACAAATTTAAGGTTCGCTGTGTGACTTAATAAAGAAGTAGTAATTTTAGAAAGGTGATACGATACGATACCAGCTTTTCTCAATTAATTAATATAATCAGTAACATCAATATGCACCGTCTCATTCCAGTGAAGTGTTATTAGAATCAGTGGCAAACTTGTTTCACATATTTATGATATTCTTAGCAAAACTATGATGAAATCTTACGCTTGTTCCGGGCCATTACATTACTCTTCAGCCACTTTGTATTGTAATTATTATTTGCTAGACATATTGTTATTGATTTGTTGTACTTCGTCATAATTTATTAATATATGGCTTAACAATATCTTTGTGACTTACATATTGTTGAGCTACATATTGGTAAGTTTTGGGACAAAGTTTTTGTCTTGGGTTGTCTATGTTTGACAATTATTACTACTCTCACACTATAATTAAGATCACTAGAAGAGTAGAGAAATGTCAATAGTAAAAAAAATTTCAGATTCATAATTTTTATAGAGTTAAACTGCAAAAGCATTTGGCATTTGATGCTGAGCTGGAAGCTAATGAAGGTCGCGTAAAATCGATGATTGAAGTCGGTAATAAGCTCGTCGCTAGCAAACATTATGCAGCCGATCAGATCACTTTACAAATCGCTGAAGTAAAACGGGGGTGGGACGAGCTGAGAAGGTAATATCCAGTTTTTTGTTTAGTTCATCATTTCTAATAGCCTTGTAAACCGCGTGCGAGCTCTCTTTAAGCATAGAACGGCATAACTGACTTGAAAATTGAACAGAATTCGGAATTTTTTGATATTTGAATAACTTACCTTTTAAATTAAGCTTATAACTTATGAGTCATACCGCATCCATATATGTTGTAGTGTATACTTTTTTCAGTACTTCAGATGATGATTAATCGTAAAAACTGATCCGATTATCAATCTTTTTTTTTAGCAAATCAGAAATGAAAAAACGTCGACTATGGGAAGCTAACGAAGCATATCAGTTAAATCGACGCATTGAAGACCTGGAAAAATGGCTGGAGCGAGTAGAAAACGATTTATCAAGTGAGGATCATGGAAAAGACTATATCTCTGTGGAAGCACTTATCAAAAAGCAGGACGATTTGGAGGCTGAAATCAAATCCAGAAAAGATGCAGTGAATGAAATTGTCTCTAAAGCACATGAATTCCAAAAGCAGGTCAATAGGAATAAATCTCTTTTTTGCGGTTATTATGAATGGTAAATAGTTGTTGCTTGACTGCGTAGTTAACTTTCTTAACATCCTTATTTTTACTATTCAATAACTCTGATGACTATAGTTTTTACTGTGGAACGGTGACTGTTTCACACTTCAGCGGAATGTTGTATATGTTTCAGAGCATTGGGAAGGCACTTTTTTGTTTTGTTTTGATGATGGCGGACGATGCATTAGTAGAGAATCTGCCGGCTTAATAATAGGGTAGGATACACCAAATAAAGTGGATGTCGCGGATATAGATTGTATGTTGTTCCACTACACTACGTCGAAAATCGGCAAATAAATACTGTCATATTTTCTGCATTTAGATCCCATAGAAAATTGTCCTACTGCTTTCCTTCACTCATTCTCGGGAAGTTGAAAAGTTTTGGCAGTTTCAGGGTTATGCAACTGCTAATGAATCGTTGGAAATGGCAAAAGCCCTCGAAATACGATATAATGAGCTGAAAAAACCTTGCGTGATTCGTCGTGCGAACCTAAATGATGCTTTGGCATTTTATGGATGGATATCAGAAGCGGAAGAGCAAACTGAATGGTTAAGTGATCGGAAACGACAGACGATAAGCACGGATTATGGGGATACGCTGCATGCTATACAGTTACTTACCAAGAAACATGCACATCTTGAGGCTGATGTTAATAGTCGGCGGGTTAGATTTTAATTCTGTGTTTTAAATTGAGACATTTCACCTGTTTGAGTGGCAAAGATGAGGACTGCAAGCGTCAAGAATACTTCACGTTTTACAGAAATACAAAATGAGAAATAAGATCGATCCTATTGTTTTTCAAACCGGAAAAAGGGAAACTCGTGATAGACTCGTTATGGAATACTTTGGTTATATGTTTTTACTTATTTTAACGAAGTAATTGCTCATTCTTTCCAGGAAGCAATAGCAAGGGTCGAAGAGAAAGGTCTGAAAATGATAAAAGACGGGCATTTTGCATCGAACGAAATACAGGAAGTGCTAGACGAATTGTCAACGTTACTTTTATCTGTAAAACAGTTCATGCATGAAAGATCACAAAAACTGGAAGATTCTTTGCGAAGTCAACAGGTACTTTGTTGACCATGACAAACCATCAGATTTCACGAGCTTCAGAAAATAGTTGAAGAAAATCTAAGCACAAACTCTAATGTAGAGTCACTTACTCTAGATATTTTCATGGAATCTAACGAAGCTCTTCAATTTGTTTTTACGATTTCACTTTTTTTCAGTACTATGCAGAGGCCAATGAAGCTGAGCAATGGATGCGTGAACGCATGCCACTGGTGGCAAATAACGGTATGGGTAAAGATCAGGCAGCTGCAGAAGGGCATTTAAGGCGACTGAAGACACTGGAGAATGATATAAACAAATTTTCTGACGAAATCGAAAGACTACGAAAGGAAGTGGAGATAATGCTTGCTGCAAAACATTTTGATTCCACAAATGTTAGCTTTATTTTAATTTTTTCGCGTGATTGTATTGTTTAGCTTATTGTTTATCCCCTTATTAAACTTCACTTCTATTTTTTTCTCCGCCTTAACGCGCTTATCGTTTATGTGATTAACTGTTTCTAATCCATTTTCATTTTAAAATCTATACCTGTTATATGCTCCTCTGGTTAAACTACAGAACGGATAATCCAGACTGCGAGGAGAACATCCAACTTTTTCATTTTTTTAAACTGATCCTTTCACTCAGATTAAAATGGAATATCCTTCCAGATTTACCTTGTCCTTTACTACCATAATTATTTTAAGCTTTCGTCAAAACAAACTAAATTAGAAGAACTGTACAAGCAACTCTCAGATGATATTGCAAGACGCAAAATACAGCTGGTGGATTCAGCAAGATATCATGCATTCGTTCGTCAAGTTGATGGTCTCGATCGATGGCTGTCGGAGAAATTAGAAATCACTAAGCAAGAAAATTACGGTATGTAAAAATCGAGCTATGAAACTGAAAGCTAATTATATTCCAACTTTTATCCTATAAGCGATTTGATTTTCAACTATCTGAAGTTGCTTAGCTGATACATTGATACTGTGTGATGTACCTTTTTATATATAACAGTTCCAAGAGATAGCTTCTATATTAGGACGGTAGCTGATGTGAAGTGTGTTCATTTCGAGATGCATTGGATTGATTTCTAGCATCTTTGAGAATGATGATGTATGTACTATATCAAAAAACTACACTTTACTAGTTCCTGTTCAACTCAGGAACATTTAAACTAATTTTAGGCCGCGATTTGGCCGAATGTCAAAAACTGGTAACTGAATTTGACCAAGTTGTACGTGAATTAACTTCTGCTGGTGAAAGGATCGCTGTAGTCAAAAGAACTCAGGTAATTCTAATAATTATTTTTCAATAAAATTTGAAAGTTTTATGAGATTGCTGAAATTGCTAGTTATTTTTCAATCTCGTTTTGCAGAAATAATAGTATTTAAGATTTCAGGAAGAACTGCTTCGTAGTGGTCATCCATTTAGTGTATCTATCAAAGCGAAGGGGACTGATTTGCAACATCTTTGGTCTCGGGTCAACGAAGCAGCCAATGAACGGCAACAAGCTTTGCAAGGAGCCATCCAGGTTTTTGTTTTGATGTTATGGATACTCTATAGTAGAATAGGGTCTCTGTAGGCATATATCCTTCTAACTTTTTTCCAGTGGAATGTACCACCTGAAATTGCTTACATCTGAAATTAGTGATGTAGCATAGCAACTTTGGTGCGATGTAGAAAAATCGAAAAAAAAAACCTTGAATAATCATGTGCCAGATTTTATTTACCATGATGAGATCAGATAAATTACGCAAACTATCACATCTTACGTGTAAAACAGAACGATAATAGCGCTGATCTGTTTTTTTCAATCTGCTGGTTTTTTGAATTTCACTTGTTTTTAGCCTTAATTTAACATTATTCAGCACTAGCACTACTAAGTTTTATATGTAGGTATTTCTTGAAGATGGTATAACAAGTTAGAAATATTGCAGGAATTGCTTGAAATTATGTCAGCCTGTCACAGTTTCCACTACATTTTATATGTATTCTGGAAATTTCTGTTCTTCCATGCCATGTTTGCGGCTCCTTTTCGATCATATAAAAAATATTTCATAATCTTAAATTACTATCTCTGAATTTCCACCTTTATTTACTCATGATGAGGAAAGGTCCCTCCAGCATTATGAAGGCTGATATGTGCATAATAATGTGGATAGTTACTGTTTCTAGTGGTATTCATAGTATCTGAGCTTGAGTGTATACAATCAATCTCATTCTATGTGATCTTGAGTCCGTCTCCGTATGATCTGTGAACTTGGTGTGATAACTTATTATTGCTTTTTAAGGTTCATAAATTCGATCAAGATGCTGATGAGACTCTCGGTTGGTTAGAAGAAAAGGAAGCGCATCAAGTAGCACTTGAAGGTGAAGATATTTCGCGAGCCGATCTTCCTGCTTTGAAACAACTAATGAACAAATACGATGAATTTATGCGTGGCGTTACGGCAGTTGAAAAACAGGTTTATGATTAACGCTTGATTTTAAAAGAAATACCGGATTAAAGGTATCACAATTGAAAATGTGTTTTTTTTAGGTTAACGATTTAAGCCGTGAAGCAGAACGTTTGATATCGTTGTATCCAGACACACAGGAACATTTAGTAGTGCGCAAAATGGGGATGGAAGAGCAACTAAAAGATGTAATCAGTACTGCTAATAAATATTATGAGAAGTTGCAGCAGATGCGAAATCTTCAATCATATTTCCAGGAACATCGTGATTTAATCACGTGGATTAAACGCTTGCAACATGCTATAACAAGGCATTTATTTTTATTATTTCTCTATAAATTTTGACAATTCTCTTCTCATTTACTTTCTTTGGAATCAGAATATATGGGAATCTGAAAACGAAGATCGTGTATTTATGATATGGACCTAATCATATGTTATTCTTTCGAGAAGTTTTTGAATGATTGAAGTCTTTAAGTAAGTTCTAGTTGGTTTCATTTTGCAGTGAAACACTTCCGAATGATGTGGAGGGATGCAAAACACTGATGCTAAGACATGCGGAATACCAAGCGGAAATCAATGGACGACAACCCGCTGTTGATGAATTTATTCGTAAGGGTAACAATATGATTGCTGCACAGCATATTTTATCTTCCGAAATATCCGCCAAGGTTTAAATTTCGAATAGTTCAAAATTTTTGTTAATTGATGCTTGATAGGATCTTCAGGATTAAAAAGCAGATTGGCTAAAAATTTTTTGGTTACAATCAAATAATTAAATCTCTTAAATTTCTTCAACTAATAATCGAAGGAAGATATAATGCCTTTTTTTTGTCTTGAAAGATTATGATGAGTAAAATTTACTTTTTTAGATTAGACAACTAGAATCAGCCATGGATTTGTTGAAAGATATCTGGAAAGAACGTTTGGTGCTATATGAAGAAAATTTGGACTTGCAACAATGGAAGCGAGATGCGCATATTACAGACGTATGGTTAACAGAGAAGGAAGACATGTTGAAGGAGGATTGGAGAAAGGTTGAAGATGTTGATGATGCAGATAACAAAATAAGGTTTATTTGTGGTTTTCTTTTTTCCAACTCAAAATTCTTTTTTTGCGGGAACACCAATTTAATTCATAGTCGGGGAAGCTTTTTGAAATCATTTTTTCAATTGGGAATGAAGTTATTTTCCAGGAATTTTGACGATTTCCTGATCACATTAGAAGCTCAAGGCGAGAAATTTGACTCTCTGAAAAGGTTAACTCTTCTCGAGAAGGCTTATTCGAAACAGCGCAAGAAAGAATCTGAAAGGTCTGTTAGTCTTCTTTCACTGATGAGTGATCCAGTAATTTAAAATTATTTTTGAAAAGGTTTAAAGGAGTCTTTCTCTGGAACACAGTGTTTGGTAACGGTTTTTTTGATATCTTGGTTTTTGATGTTATTCAACTTTTATGTCTAATACACTTATGGACAAGTTTTTTTTTAGAATCCGAGCAGAGAAGGGAACAAGTGAATCACGAAAAGAAAGTATTAAAACATTTGAAAAACAAAATAAACTGCAAGATCGTCGAAAGGAACGTGAAAGACGCATGACTCAGGAAGTGTCCTTGATGAAGCCAAGTCCGTCTTACACCGAAGAAGTGTACGCATCGCATACTTTACCACATCCTCGACGTGGAACCGAACCTGTTCCATGCATTCAGACATCCTCTTCAGAATCAAAAGTGTGTTATAGGATCATTTAATTACCTTCTCGATACTATCACGCTTATGGATTTGCAATGTGATTGCTGAAATCTCTAGAAAATTCATTGTGATTAGTTGCAAAGTGGAACTTTTAATACCGAAATTTTGGTGTGTAATGGACGATAACTCAAAAGTTTCCTTTTTGTTTTAGGAAGCACCGGCTACTCCTGCAAGACAGACAGCTTTGAGCGTTTCGGATGGTTCGTCAGCAGAAGCTGAAAGATTATTGAAAACATCTGTGTTATCAGTTGATGAAACTCCGATGATCCAAAGAATAGGTTCAACTCGAAAAACTCCGAAATTTACTACAAGACGGTCGAATTCATTAAAGAAACTCAAAACGCGAGAAGACTTCGGACCGATTGATATGCACGGATATCTCGATCGAAAGCAAGATTTACAGGTATAAAATTCTGGACTTTTTATTAGTATATTCGCAAGAGTTTCCGATATTGAATTAGCAGCTTTCCATTTACTATTTACCCCTTTTCTTCTCCTTGCTTCTCCTTGCTGCTCGCAATAAATCTGATCTTTTCAATACTCCAATAGAATATTCCAGTAGATGATTGTTGACGTGATGAAGAAATTTGGTAGCTATTATTTCTTTATTTTGAAGAAACTCATATTTTTCACAGACCGGTTCGTTTTTCTCCAGGTTTCTTTATTATTTTTGTATTTTTCCTAGAGCGGTGGAAAAAAGGCAACGATACGCACATGGAAAAGATATTATACAATCCTCTGTGGACAACTTCTGTGCTTCTTCAAAGATGAAGATTCTTTTTTGGAAAATTCGGCAGCTTCTGCACCGGTTAATATCCTGAATGCAGAATGTGATGTTTGTCCTGAATACATGAAAAAGAAGAATACTTTTAGGTTAATCTTTTTTAATTCTGTTAATTCGCGTTATTTTACCTCCTTTTATCGGCAGAAGAAGCTTCAGGTTTGTAAGACGTTTGCTTGAATACCTTCACTTCAAGATTCTCTTTTGAAATTTTTCGGCTGGCAGTGGAGAAAATGAGATAACGAATAATGTAGTGAATTTTCTGTACGGATAGATGGTATGTAGCATCTTCGGAACACAAAACTGTGTTTCAGATTGAAAATACAGGATGGATCGGAGTATCTATTTGCTTGTAATGATGATGATAAGATGCTAGAATGGGTGTTGAAAATCAGATTTCATGCGAATTTAGCACCTGCTCAGCAACTTCGAAGCTTTGATAAGGTATATTTTAAATATAATATGTTATAAAAGAAAAGATACGAAGGTTGAGCTTACCAAAAAGTCCAGTTAGTGTACATTTCAGTTCATTGAGAGTTTACAGAAATAATTTGGAATAGAACTCAAAAGTCTAAAATTTACTCGGATTATGCAACTGCATTTTTGGAATGCGAGATAAAGCATTTATACATATAGATACATTTTTGCACACTTTTCACATCTGACAGAACTCCCAGCACTTAGACGCAGTGGTTATTTAGTTCTTTATATTACCTCAAAAAGTAATTTAGCTGGTTTTAGAGTGAAAGCCCACCAATGTATTCACCGCCACCACGACCTGGCGAAACCTTGCGACGGCACACTACAGAATTGGTTTCATCTGTTGAAGTTAATGCCTTTTCGTCACTTCCATACGAATCCGAATCATACGAAAAGCCCGGTATCATAACTCGTAATCATTGTAAGTTTTTAAGTTTTCATGTTTTTGGTATTCAGAATTGGAATCTTCACATTTACAAAGAAGAAAATCTCGCGTTGCACTTAGTTATTAGCACTATTAGAAATCCCTTGTTCAGGCATATAATAGCTTGCATAATGAAAGCCTCGGACACTAACTGCTGTACTAACCCTCGATGGTATGGTTTTCATTGATTTTCCTGATTTGTTTTTTTTTACTTCACTTCGTTTACGTATGTTTTTCAATATTTTTAGTTCCTTTTTCATTATTCTTTCCCTATGTTTTGGCAATATCTTATTTGTATGCATCTTATTTGCTTTGCTACTGCCTTTGGCATAGTTTCTATCCATGTTTGACGTAAGTTAATGAGAGGATAAACTACCTATTTCATTTTTTATACACTAATACATTATAAATACTGTTTATGACTTGGAACTGATGATGATATATTCTGATTAATTCTTGGATACTGGCTTTCACATTTTTGTCCTTTGCTTTACATAATCCACATTTAACAGAAATCCAATCTTTATAATAAACTTTGTATTTCCTACTTCAGTGTAGTTATGGCTTTAATGTGCCTCCTACGTTATTTCTTTTCGAATGAAAAGAAAGTACAGATCTGGACGAAGAATTTGAACGGGCTGGAGAAAGATCCTGAAGACATTAAACGGGAAAAAAATGAAAACATTAAAAAAAATAAAATGAAAACATTAAACTTCAG